AAAAGGATGTCGAGGTTTGCATATACATGGTCAAAAAGTCACATAACTGAGTATCATCGCAAATACAGTTTAACTAAATAATACTTGAATGGATCGTTGTTATTTCTAAATATATACAATGTCATGTAGAGCATGAGAACTGACCTAGGAGGTTCCAGTGTTGTTGTGTACCCGTGACAAAAGAAGGCGGGACTGCTGGGGAGGTAAGAGACACTCCGGGACTCTGTATTGAGTTAACCACGTTACAGAGAGTCGCTTGATTAATTTGACTGTCATATTTGATGTAAGTGCAGGTTAATCTATGGATGCAGTTGCAAACGGGCGATTCCTGCAATTGCACGCATCCGCACAATTTGCCATCAACTACTGGACTGCTTGTGATATAAAGTTACCAGCTATCAGAGTCCAGCTACGCGATAAGACTTGTATCAAAGGCCAAAGGTGACATGGACTTACTATTCAACTCTTTTGTCCTATCAGGGGGCCAGCCAATTCATCTACGTACTCGTTTTATTGCAGTTATTAGTTAATTATTTCCTACCTCTGATATTTATCTTGTTTTCCATCAATTTTGAATGATATATTATCTTTTGCAGTCGAACGACTTTTAAAGATAAATTCATTTTTGCTGTAAAATATTTTAATACTCACACATCTATTAACTTTTTATTTAATAGTTATTATAATGAGTCTAATTTTTTTAATGAGAAACTCTATCATCCTTCTCGTTTTGAGTTTTCTCAAGTCCTAATCCATTTTTTTTAAATGTGTTTGTGTAAGTGCATTCGTGAATTTTTATTTATTCACAAGATAGGGTAAAGTAAGGTTATTTGATGAGACAGACAATTTGGTGATAGACTCTTAAAAGTCTTTCAAGATGTTACCAATGCATGTTATATCACATAATGATGTGTCACCAAGTTTTGTCCACCTTTGTGGCGAACTGATTGCATCATTTCGCATTACTGCATGTATACGTAATGCTTTGAAAGACCTTTAAGAGTCTATCACCAAATTACCTTTACCCTATCTTGTGATCAAATAAAAATATAAACTTCAACCTGGACTCATTCGATACATAGTTGCGTTATGAAGATCTAATTAAATTTTGATTGTCTTAGCTTTTTTTTTTAACTAGAACAAACTAGAAAATTTGAATACTTGATAAATAGATTGGTATTTAATGTTGAAGGGTACGAAATGGAAAGTTAGTAATTAGGATAAACCAAATAATATTCAGCTTTTTTTTAATAGTAATTTTAATTTCTACCTTTACATACATTGGATTTCGAAAAACTTTCAAATTTTATTCAATTTCTTTACTAATTGATTATCTAATTAAAAAATTAAAGAATCTGTTACATCAACAATGGTTTATTAATTAGAAAGTTGTCAATTAAACATATTATTTAATTATTAGTTTATGTTTATATTCAAATATTGCTATTTATCTTATGTTGTGATGAAAAAAATATGTCTTTTCGATTTTCAATGAATATTTTAACCTTCCCAAATATTCTTTAATAGGTGAAAAAATTTTTGAAATAGATTTAAGTTGGAGTTTTATTTGGTATTGATCATCGTTACGTTGTTAATTATTTATTCAAGCATTTGATCTATTTTTTAAAATTACTTATACCAAAACATTTTTAATTACAAACATTTAGTTATTAAATATGAATAAAAACGAATTATCATTAATTTCAAGCATATTTTTTAAATTATTTAAATATTAGGATTCCATATTTATCTGTTGATAATAATAACATGAATAATTTATTCCAAGTGTTCATTTTTTTCTTGACACATTCAAAGGAATATTTTTCATTTAAAAAAAAAGTGCATTCTAAACATTGAATGTAATTATGGCATAGTACATAGTAGTAGTTATGGCAAAATTGTGAAACTTAATCAAAGAATCGATTATTTTCCTCAACTTAGTTCAATCATAAAACGATTTTCTGCCTATTTTGTCATCATTACTCTTCTAGAAATGAAGAAAAAAATGTTATTATGTGCATAAAAGAATATTTTGAAAATTAATTTTTGATTATGTTGATGATAATCTAAACCAGTGGCTCAAAATGATGTTCCAGAAGCCATCAATTGATGGTATAATATCCAAGGATAAAGATTGAAAAGATCTAAGGGGTAATCAGCAATGATCAGGCAATAATTTTCAATCGCTTGAAGACTCTATACTCGTTTATTCTTCAACAGTGAACACGCTAGGTAGTCTAGATACAGTGCATTAACTGGATACATATCATTATCATTATGCACAATATTAATATATTGTAAATAGCCTGTCTCAAGTGCTTAGATCACAACACCTTTCTTTAAAACGCCCCGTTTATTGCTGCAATTATTCCTATTATCCTTTTCTCATAATTTATTCTTAATGCATTAGCTAGTTCTGAAGACGAGTGGGTTTGCTACAACCTCTTGTAGTTTTCTTTTCCGCTTCACTTAGTCTTTTTCTCTAACTATATGTAAGTTATTTATCGATTTTTATGCTTAAAGAATGCATAAATGAAATCTTAGGAAGAATATATACATCATTAAATACAATGCAGGTGACAGATGTTGATATTTCTCGTTCTCATGAATTGTTTATTTAAATAATTAATGAATTATTCATCTCCACAATGGATTGATTTATTTGTTATTTCTTTAGGATTTTTAGCAAATTATTTTTAATGAACAATTATTAAATTAACATTTTGCAGGATTATAAATAAATATTTACTTGGAATTTAATAAATAATCTCTTAATCTTGAATAAAACAAATATTGATTCTATATTTATTAAATGAGTAAAATGATAAAGTCAAATTCCGTATGTAGTATGCATTTGTTATAAAATAATCTGGCAATAAGTGTGATAAAAAAGTAATAAAATGTGAAAACTTGACTACTATTTTTTTAGTTTAATGAACAAAAATAATTATTTCTCGGTTCAATTGATAAAAGTAAAGTATGAAAAACAGGTTCTTGAGATTTAAAATAAAGTAAGTGACACAGGAAAGTGGTTTTAAGGAGAAAATGTATCGTGTATTATCTATAGTTATTGAATGGTAATTATTTGATTGACTCATAGTCTAGTTCGATGATCGTTTTAAAATTAATTTAAAGCCGCAATTGTTGGTGCAGTCGTTGAACTAGATTAATTTTTATTGGTCACGACTGGTCGACCCTTCATGAGTGTTATTCTGAGACCAAATGATAGCTAGTCAAGTTGTGTGTACATATAATATATCTGCACGTGCGGAGGTTCTCTATGTCAGCTACGTTAGCCGGCGCTGTCGCCATACTCTGGGCGCGGGCGTTAAGCAACCGAGCTTTCTAGGTCAAAAAATCTTCGACATCTATCTGCATAGATAACAAGAGACCTCTTTGACAATGTATCCATCGATTTATTGTGTTCACGATCTACCGAATAATCCGGCCGCCACTTTAATTCTCGTGTCGTCATGATGCGAAAGAACGATAGATCGGAACTAATAAGCGTGTCTCCTCTGTGGCTTATTTTATGCCGCAGCTCTTAATGTCTTGTATTTCATCTATCTGTAAAGTCTACAATCTACTATGACTACTGATGAGCTCCTAAAGGAGACGATGATTCACATTCTTGGAAGAATTTTAACTTCATTTTCCTTAGTTTATTCTTTGATGTTTTAGTTTTTTTTTTTTCATCAAGAGAATGTTTATTTCTTTGTTGTGTAAATTTAGATTACGTTTTTAAGGATATTGAAATGCACTTAAATGAGGAGGCAATTAATTATAAAGTTTTTTCATGATGTGTGCATTGAATAAAGAATTTTGTAACTGTAAAGGAATTGTTAATGCTTAACAATGATAAATTTATATTTTTTGAAACACCTTTTATGTTTAGAGAATTAAAAATAAATATTTAGTTGTTTCAATGAAATTTTAATTTGTCAATGAAAATGAAAATAATATTATTTTTAGGAAATATATATAAAAAAATTTTTTTATTTTAAATATAATTAACAAATTGAAAATTAATCAGTGGACTTTTGAAGCTCTAGTTTCATTTATCTATGTAAACGCAACCTTGGATAATTAGAAGATTGGAGTAAGGGCATAGAATGTTGGTTTGGGTCCAGATTCTAGGTTCTAGGTATCTATAACTATTTTATATATAGATATGAAAGATTAAAAAAACGAACGATGGTATTCAGCTGATGTAAACACGCCATGACAAACTAAATATTTTATTTCATTCTATTAAACTTTTCATAATAAGAATCAATCACTGATCTATCCGACCTTTAATTATTGATACAATTAATTGAATCATCTATTGACAATTATTCAGAAAAAATTATTATCCATTCACTATCAACAATAGTTAACCTGAATTACTAATTATAAACAAAGATTGGTTATTTTCAAATAAGTTATGTAACTTGCATCTTTCTATCCTTGAATACATAATTTTTCAATTTAGAAATAAGTGAAATATTTCTTTATTATTCGTTAATAATATTCTAAGTATAGATTTTCCAAAATCGGTATGTTATATAATTTTCAAAACTATTCTTCTCGATCCTTTTTAAACAGTAATTTAAGATTTAAGAACAATTGGTTTAAATTAGAATTTAAAGAGTAAATCAAGTACGAATGATTTTATTTTTAGAACATTTTTATTTTTAGTAGTTAATAAACTTCAGAATAAATTTTAATTTAAACAGTGCAATACAATACGATGATTATAAGCGAATCCTTTTGTCAATGAGTATACTTCCTTGAATTGATTGGCTAGTTGACGATGTGGGATCTCTGTCAGCTCTCGTGCGTATTTCTCGCTGATGTCTTTTATAATATACAGGAGACGATTACACACCTAGGTCTCGCGGGACCTCTGCTCAGTGTCAGAGACAGAAAGTAGGGGCGAATTACGCGTGAATGTAAGTGGGAACGAGAGAGAAGTTAAACGAATGAGTGGGGTAAAAGCAGGAGGACGTTTCAAGCATGTTCAGCCGCAGCTGAGGAGTGAGAGATTGTTGGACGTTCGAGAAAGAGAAACGATTGGACTAATACACACGTACTCTCTGTGCACGGTGGCGAGTTACACTCGTAGCTCTGCCAGTTCTTACTTGGACTTGCTACGCGATAGATAGTATCGCCTCTTCGATTTTCCATCGATCTTTACCGATTCATCCGGGGAGAGAAGTCGCGCTAACGCGCGCTTCCGGTAATAGCATTCGTACCCAGTTGTCACGTGTACTGAAACCAGAAGAGGAAGAAGTGGAAAACGAATAGTGGAAACGTGAATGAACAAACTCATTTTTATTGGAGAACAATCATTTATTTTATTTTTATTTTATTGAGTTTATTTATTTTTCAAATCCGTGAATTTTTGTGCCGAATGAAATTGAGGTAAGATTAAGTGTGTTTCATTTTTATTTATTTTTTTTTCACTTACATCACATCATCAGTGACGTCCACTTTCACTTATCGTTATAATTGTACATCAGCAGGACTCTAAGTGGAGTTGAAGAAACGTGCGAGCAGGTCAAGGCCTTGAGTTTGCTTCCGTTCGTGTTCTATGATACAAACTGACTATTTTTTAATTTCATCATTGTGTATTATCGCACGTTAATAAGTCCAATGTTCTTTTATTACGCAGGGAAAAAGTAAATGATAAAAAAAAATTATCTTTTTTTTTTGAAATTAAAATGATGCATCATAAAAATGAGAAAAAATTTAATTTTTTTTTATTTTTAATTTATTGATGATATTATGACATTTCTAATCTAAATTATAATTTTTAAATAGAAATTAAGTTAATCTCAATGAGATCAATGAATTAAATTAATTAACAAAAATAAAATTAATTAATAAGATACCAAGCATAAATTATTTATTAATTTTTAATTAAAAAGTGTTACATTCATCATCTAGTGCTCTAGAGATATTGATTTTTTAATGATTCAATTTTCTCTGTCATGTAATGTTGATTAGTACGTTGACATATAAGTAATTTACAAGAACATGATATTAAAGCTATGAGTATCAGTAATTTTTTGATTGAGTTTCACAATTGAAAATTAATGGAAGAGAAATTGCATCTCTTGACTCCTTGTGTGTTCAAATGATCACAAGTTTACCTATAACTTTTTTTAATAGCTTCTCTCTGTAGGTAGTACTACTCGATCTTCTTCCTCTTTTTCACTTGCTCTCATAATATTATATATCGTGATTCCGGTACAAGAGAATACTCAAGGCGAGAACGAGAGACGTTTCTTCATGCGTTTTCTTTTTCTTTTATGATACACCACACTGACCAATGACTCGTCCAGCCAACAGGATTTCCCACGCTTAGCCATCATCCTGGTGAATATTAGTTTCCAACTTTCTTTTCGTCGTAAAATTTTTTCAAAAACTCATAAAAAATCAAAAAGTTTTCTTTCAAGTGAATGCTTCTTGAAAGAATCTGGAAAATCACTTAACAGTTGTCAGCTATGAAAGCTTTTCTTTTCTATAATTAGACGCAGACATTCTTAGAAATCATCCTTAGACATTTAAAATAAAAAGAGATGTTGGTAAATTTGAATGGTTTTTATTAAAACCAGAGTTGTATTTACATATGTGTCCATCTTATTAGTACTTTAAAATAAAATTAACTCTCATATTTCTTGTGTTCTTGGTAAATTCTGTTGCATCATATTACAAGTAGTATCATAATGATTGGAAAGTGACAAGTTGTTTTATATATTTTATCAAAGTTTATGTAGTGAAATACTTGTAATTTGCCAACAATAATTCATTAATCCGTAAAATTTGTACCGGTAAAAATAACGGAATTACCACTTGTATTTCTGAACCATAAAAGGTAAAACATTTCGTTCGCTTGCTCGGTATTCTCTCTGTTCAATGGCCTTTGCAAAAAAATTACTCACTGAATGATGACATAAAAAACGACATTTTTTAGCTTAAGTGAATGCATAAATAATTGTTCCTGTTTTATATTTCGTTATTACAATAAAATAATTGGCATCATTTTTCATGTTAAATAAAAATTTTTAGAATCTTCGAAAAAAACAGGTATGATTCATTGATTGTTAAATTATGTATAAAGTTAAAAAGATAATGACGTGAAGTCTACTGCTAGTGTTACAAAAATTTTATTGTTGTATCAGAAATTAATTAACAATGGACAATTGAGTAGTTATTCGAGCCGGTAGGTGAACTAATACTTTCATAAACGATACTGACACTATTTTTTACCTTGGGAATATGGATTACTTAAATATTATTGAATATTAAAAGAGTGATGTACGGTGGTAGCGATATGTTAACTCCATTTGACATTGAGTCAATGATATTTTTATTTTTATTATTAATAAATTGCTTCAGCTGACGATTTTTGGTTGTGTAGACAACTCTATTTACATAGTTTTGTAATATTTACCGAAAACTTATCAGCTAGCAATTTTTTTTTAATCTTTTTATTTCATTTAAATACATTTTTCGATGCCATTTGTTTTAAAAAGCTGTTTTTAGAATGGATGTTACTATAAATCAAATTTCATATGGATATATGTCGTTTTTTTCCATTTTAAATTAAAATCTAACTTATATGTACAAAAAGAAACTCGAAGTAAAAATTACTATGATAAATTGAGAACTAAAAATAAATTAAAAACTAAACTATTGATTATTTTAATTAATATAACTTAACACATAATATGTTTAATAAAACGTAATAAATTTTATCTTTATTTTTAGTTGTTTAAAATTTTCATAATAACAATATTTAAATATATTTAATATTTTTGAGTGAAATTATGTTTAAATTTTCTTCAATGTTTTAATAATAAGAAAAAGTTATGTTTAATTTAAAAAAAAAATTCAATATTGAAAAAACATTTAATTTCAAATATTAATTTGAATAGAGAGGTTTTTGGAGTAGGCGTTAAAATGTTAAATGGTTATTTAATATTATCTAATAATGTAAATTTCTAGTTACTTCATCAATGTTTCATTGATCAATCCGACAGAGTAATATTTAATTCAACAAAACTGTCATGAAAAAATTTATCTATCAAATATTAATGAAATAACACTACTGAATTGAAATTTTCATTGATATTTGATAAACAAATACTTAATAATGAAAATTTCCATGAGTTTTTGAAGCATTTGATAATTTCATTCATTTAATAATGAAATTGAGTAATCATAAGATTGGTATATAATCAAATCAAATAAGTAAAAATGATAATGAAGGAACGAAAAATTTTTAATGATCCTCTATAACAAGTAAACGGTGGTAATAAAAAGATAGATTTTGGAGCATATATGAATACATAAATGAAACGCTTCTGTTTATGTTTCATTACTATGATTACAAATTTTATTTTATTACCAAGCGTTGCAACTTATAATGATACCGATGCTTTTATACTGCAGCTATTAATCATACCTGGATTTTTAAAATACATTCATTAGTTGACGAAGTTTAAAGATAAGATTATATTAGTGTCTAACGGGTACACATGATTAAAGAGTAAAATAATATTATGTATGTATCATACTTCATACATTTTTGCGTGCTATCAGAGACTACTCTTGCGCGCGTCTGCCCTCATACCCACAAAGACGAGTATAAACTCGACGACACGGACACCGGCTTATAAAATTACGCAACAGGCTAATCGCAAGAACGACTACACTACAACTAACATTATAAATCCTCGTAGTCCCTCCTTTACCTCCTGTCATCGTTGGCGTGCACGTTAAGAACTACCTTCGAGCATATTTTTCTTATTTAATATTTATGCAAAGCGCATCATGATAATTAAAATTTTGATGTTGAGTCGCTCTGGCCTTGTTCCAATCTTTCCTTATATATACTACTATTTGTATGTGTAAATAATGACGTAATCTTTGCCAATAACCTGATAAGTCGAAAAATCTTATTTGGAGAAGCAGGAGAGGTCATTTAGATTTATTTGCCATTTTTCTCTGAAATCCCCATATTTACAGTTTCAAAATAATACATTCTCGTTTAAAGAGATTAATTCTATTTTAGCTATGTTTTGTACTTTTTATCAGTTTTTGAATTATAAATAAATAGTTGATGTTGATTTTTAAATAGTTGGTATTTTTAGAATTAAACCAGTATTTAGGAGATATTTTTAATTCAATGAATAAAATTCCAAAATTACCTTGAATTTAGCTAAATGTTTATTTTTATATATTTCTCATTATTAAATCATTGCAATTAAATCAACATAATAATTTTAGACAGTTTTTGACAATATAAATAATGAATTAATGAGGAAAATATTTTTTTAAATTGCGACAATTAATGAAAAATTCCGAAATTATTTCTTACTGTTTTAAAAAATTTTTTAAATTGATTATTTTATAGTTTTTACTTTTTTTTTATCAAAAATTGCGATGTAAAAATGTCTTTCGTCTTCGGCATGAAGAAAACATAAAAGTCTTAGCCTCAGTTGGAGTTGAAACTGGTGTATGGCATTATGTATATGCATGTATTCGGCGAATATTAACTCCAGTCATTTGTATGATTCCCTAGAACTCTTTCTCAATAAAAACCGCAGAATATTCATTTTCAATCGACCGAAAACATTCTCTCGAACATCACATCCGGTACGATAGTTATATACGGGGACTTTGAACTCACGCATGGAATTCATTGAGGGGGAAAAATCGATCGGCGATATGCCAAGACTATGAGATCGACGTGTGTGTTAATCCACAGAGTGTCAGATATTCATAAGAATTTAAAAAAAAAATCACATCATGTCTTATCATTAACTTGACACGAGCCACAGTAACATGAGTTGCAAAAATCATAAGATACTTTGTAACTGAAACATATTGAGTTCGAGCTATGTATTAACATTATCTGCACATTACATATAATAACTATCTTAAATTAATAATTATTATGATCTATTATCTTGGAATATATCTGAACTCAACAAAAAATCATTTTCATTAACATTTTTAATCTTTGTATTGTATCTATTTGATTTAATTTTATAATCACTATTGATTACAGAAAATTAAATGAAAAAAATGCATAATAAAAACTAATCACGTGCTGCAGTTGAATCAACGTGTATGTACGTGCATTGACTACACAGATCTTTTAATTGGGTAGTGGCTAAAAATGATGCATAAGAAGTGTCTTAGTGTAATATAAGAGAAGGATGTCGAAGAATTTAATATAAATGTCCATGTTGGTTGTATCAGTCATTGGTGATTACTAATGTTGATAGTCCGAGGTACCGATGCCCTCTGACCCTCGTATATTTTCATCTTGACATCGTTGTTAGTGAACTCTTTCTCAGCTATGACACACCATTATACCGGTAACGCTTTATGTGATGGTTACAAAAAATCATGAAAACTTTTTTTTTCATGTAAAAACCATTTTTCAGAGATAATAAACTATAAGATATAATATTGGAAATTTTCAATCATTATTTTAATGATTAGATTGAATTTATTCGCCAAGTAAAGTAACGGTGGAGTTGCATGAAAATCTTTTTTTATAGCTTGTGTTTATATTGAGAATTTTATTAAGTAGAAAGAATTATACACTGATAGAAGAGATTTATTATAAATGTTAAAAAACGATTTTTTCATTATTAGAATCAATGTTTATTCAACTGTTAATAAATATTTTATAACAATAAAAAAGCCTTAGTTATGAACACATTGGTGATTTTATAATAAATAAATCACATTTTTACCTTATGCATATTTTTTTTAATAGAAATATCCATGAAACAAATCCAAATCCTAATCTCATTTAAATGTTATGTCATTTTATATTAAAACAACCATATAATCCACAATAAAATATGAATTATATTGGTTTCATTATATTCCTTAATAGTTAAGAAGACTTTCTAATTGTTAAAAGATATTTTTTACCAGTTAAAAAGCCTCCTTTATTATTAATAATCTCTTCTATCAGTGCATGCATTAAATAGATTATATTTCAAATTCTTGAAAATTTTTTTATTAAAGAGTTTTAATTAAACTTACTCATGTTATGAATGGGGTGCTATTGTTTGGCAAATACTGATTGAGTTTTATTCTAATTTCTGATGAGTTATTCATGATAAATTTTTAAACAAAAAGCTTTTTATTTAAAAGAAAGTCATTCACAAATTAATAACGACTTCGATAAGGAGCCTGTTAATATTTTTCGAGATATCCTTCTGTAATGCTCCGAAATGTGATAAAAAAGCCTATCTATCTACTAATATTAGAGGTATAATAGCGATCATATAAGAATAATTTTTGACTTTTAGGTATTTTAAAAATAAAAAATACCATTGAAATTGGATCGTTCCAAGGAAAAGTTTTAGACACACTTCAAAATATTTCCCACCCTACTGAACTTATTGAACCTTGTGTTTTTCATGTTCTTTAATGCTCTAGTTATGTTGAAATGTTTCTATAACATTTTCCCAGTTGGTTTATCTAAACACATGGGGATTGATGTTATCAAGTAGCCACTAAGAATTGATTCGAAGAAAATTAATTTGAGTATTTCGTTGAACAATTTTTGAGACAAAAAAATTTTATTCCGTTGAATGAAATGGGTCTATTTAAATCGGAAATTGATCAAAAGACAGAAGTAGATTCATTTATAATTTGACATAAGAGACCAATTAAGAGTTTATTGTTCTCAGATAACTTTTGATAGCTCCAAAACGGGTAAATTTAAAACAGTAATTTTTTATGCATATTTTTAATTTATTATTTTTCAACTGATTTTTAAATATTCTGTATAAGGAAGATTTTATTATTATTATAATTATAAATAGTTCAAATATAAATATGAACATTGAAAAATGTTCTTACAATTAATAAAATTCATCAATGATGAGATAAATCATTTTTACCAAGTATTATTAAATACTATGCAAGAAGCATGCATTAATTTATGAATAATTTTATAAACATTTCATTTGTTTAATGATACATCGATTTCTTAGAAATTATTGTAATGACTAATCAACAAAAGACATATTGTCATGTTACGAAAAAAAAATCATTTGAATTCAGTAAATATTCATAAATTCCCAGAGTCAAGTGATATATTATAAAAATTTAATTTGTATTAATTAATACAAGTAAAAAGCATTTTTTTTATAATTGATGTACTACACCGAAGCTATCAATGTAATAAAAATTTTTATTTATCACCAAATAGCTTTTTTTTAGTATAAAAACACCCATCTTTTTTATATGAGTTATTTTTTGTAATCAAAAAACGTGGGAAATATTTTATACGATTGAGTGTCTAAAAAAACTGATACATGCAACGTACGATAAGAAAATGATTACATAATCATCAGTTAACGTAAATGTACCAAGTTCTATTTCATTTGCATCGAACATATGCTACTTTTTACGTTACCTCAACGCCAATGAATTCGATGAATTCATTTAAAAGTATTCTATTTTTCGTAGTAAGTTAAATTACTACTGATCATGAAAGATTTATGAACATGTCAATATATACATTTACACATCGTTGAGTTTTTTAAAAATCAAAATACATACTCACTTGAGATGTTTTACTTTGATCATACATCAATTGTGAAATGTACTTGTTGATACTAGTGGTCAATAAAAATTAACGAACGAGTTAAAGAATATAAATTCACTACTTAGTAAATTAATTCTATTTGTTTAGAAATTTATTTATTTATATATTTGACTCTTTATTTTTTTCAGCAAAAGGCAACAAATATATCTTTTATGTAGATCGGGTAGGCCAGGTATTTTTTTTTTATGTATAATATCAACTTTCCAAGATTCCAGCCCACGAGGTAGCGAGAGTTGAAGTCCATATGGCCTCTTTATACTTACTGATTATACTTAACACAGAATGCATTTACACATATGATGTTTCAGGCTGGATCCCAAACGATATATGTTAAATAAAAGCCGTTGCTTATCTCTTACTTTGTATTCAATGTTTTTTGTTTTTTTTTATCTCATCTTATTTATAATCGTTCATTTTACACAATACAAGTATACTGCAAGGAAGACGATAGCGATCATAATAATGGATCATATGTATCCATAGTTTTACATTAGATTTTCTTAAGGAAGTCTCTACTTGATGGACTTGTATCCTCTAGTCCTTTTTTATCTAAAATCCTACAGCCTGAATGAGTTTGATAAATTTATAGTATAATAATTATGATAACTATCATCAAAATGATAACAATCATAAGTTTATATGTTCAAAATAAATAGCTATATGTCCAATACATTTTCTATTTTATTTCTCTTTATTACAATATTTTTATGAAAATAATTACTGTTTTTAAATAATTAACAGTTTTATTATTATTATTAGCATGAATTTAAACTATTTAAACAACATTAAAAGTTATACAAATAAAAGCAAAAATTATAAATGATAAAAATAAAGATCCAAAATTATAATAAACAAGACAAAGAGTGAATAATATTTCCGAGTACAAAACACTTTAATAAAGTATCTGAGTAAGTAAGTAATAATAAATGACATGTTTGAGATAATTTTATAATTACAATATACAGTGGTTGACAATAAAATTTAATAATCTCAAAGTAATTGTCATTGTATAATTTTGCAATTAATAATTATGCTTGATGTGGTGATAAAATATAAAAGAAAAAAAATTTGTAATAAGATGACTAGATTGTATCTATTATAGCTTAGGGTTATGATAGAAAATAATGTGAACGTCGGATTACATTAACGATAACGACATTAATAATGATGTTACGTATAGAGAAACTTGGATGATGACCTACGTGCGTAGTGAATTGGACCACGATACGAGGTAGAAAGTTCCGTTAATTTTATCCCACACAAATAGCCTTGGTGGATAAAAAACGACCGCGTGAAACATCGTCCTCTGACTTCGATCCATTGTCCTGTCTTAAACGAGTTCTTCCCAATTGTCATTCGACCGTCATATGCACACGTTTTTTTCAAAATTTTTTTCTCTTTCTAAAATGCACTCTACTCTATTGGGTCTTAAGAGAGGTGGGGTCGTAATAGAAATATTTTATAAGCCGACTATAGTTGAAATGAAAATAAGTGTTAATCTGTTTCAGATGTCGCCGAAGACGAGTTGCTGTTCCGTCAAAGTCTCTGTTTCGATTTAAATGACTTGTGAGTTGATTTTTTTTTATCTTTATATTTATTATTATTTATATCTTTCATAAATCCTTATTGTAGATTATGACTTTTGATTTTACTTGATAGATAGTTGAATAATGAAGAGTAAATAAATTTATTATGTCATTGATAAATACAAAAAAAAAATGATGCAAATTTAATGATGGTTTGGATTAATTAATTTTTATTACTTTAGTTACTGAATTCATTTATAATAATTATTATTTTTTGATGATAATCGAGCTATGTTTATATTTTTAAAAAACAACTAAAAAAATAATTCATCAATGGTTAAATGTTAATTCATGTGATAATAATAAAATAATAATTACTTGAAGAATCGCAATTATAAAGTACTCTTGAAAAAAAATTAATTACGGAATAAAATGACATTTTCAATTAATTTATCATGCCAGTGATACAGAAAATTGATAATAAAAAAAATCATTGAATGATTCGTCAGTTTTGTTTTTTCTCTGAGCAGTGTATATTAAAATCGATCGTCTTCTTATGTATCAGCTGTCATAAATTAACATCAATTATTAATTATAATATTTTATAACTCTTCCATTAAATTGTTTTACCATCAATAATAATGTGCGATAGTTATCGGTACTTCTGATGATTGGATCAGTTGGACTTTTGAATAATAATTGTTGGAATAATTCTGCAAATATGGAAGCAAACTTTTGCAAATATAAAAATGTTATTGCGTGATGTTTTACGAGGACACTAGAGGCCAAACCACTTTCGACTTTCAAGTCAAAAGCGGCCTGTTCGTCCGCGATATGCGTAATCGGATATACGTGCAGTATATAGGATACCGCAATGTATATCTTCGCATCTCTTTGCACTTCTACATGCTTCAGTTTTTTTTTCCATATAAATTCTTAATATAAAAGTCAATCATATAATCCTTAGAACTTGTAAAACAAACAAGTGTAATAATCACTTTTCTTATTTTTACGATGAATTATCTTGTAATTATCTTGTCGATTTATTCAATAAAAAGATTCAATTCCTAGCACAATGCTGCTATGTGTTTCGATGTAATAGAGATTTAGTAAAAACAAGACTGTCAAGTCTTCTTGCATTATTTGAACATAGTAAAACGAAAACGTGATCAACTCTCTCACGTTATACTTGTATTACTTGTTCATATCACCCCCCCTCCCTTCTTTCCTAGATGTACTTCTTTTCATATTATCTATGACTTTTTTTTAATTCTCAACGTCATGTTATGCAGACCATACGCTTTTGTGTTCAAGAATTTCTATTGACTTTTTGTCATACGTATGTTAATGCAATGTAAATAATATGGAACCTCAATATAGGTGGAACTAGTATACATAGGTTTTCTAAATGGAATATGGTTTTCCTTTTGAAAAAAGTATCTTCTAACTCTTTACAATTTATTTTTTTATAGCTTTGTGACATTTTTTTTATCTTTTTAGACATCACCCACATCCGGAAAAATGAAAAAGAAACATTTTTAATTGAATTTTTTATCAATATAAACGAAATTTTCCCAAATACACACTTCAGTTCAAAATTTAACGTGATCAGATAAAAGAATTATTTTTGTCTTGTTTTGTATTAATTTTTTTTTAAGTTTGCAATAAAAATATTTTAGAATACGACAATAGTAGCTAAAGTTTAATTATTACTTTACACTTGATGATAAACTTTACACGATCTTTTGTTTGTTTTTTGCCTTATAATTTTTTCCCCGTCATTTAAATAATAGAGTACTGATATTTTTTTATCGTCTAAGCAATATAATTAATTCCAAATAAATTATTTATAAATACTTTATTATTAATTAATTTTAAATAAATAAATAACTAAGTTATGACATAAAAAAAAGAATTTTCTTTAATGAATGTTTTAATTAAAATAAGCCTTTATTTTGATCTGTTCTTTATCTGTTGATGCTACTCCATAATTTGTTTTTGATTGGTCTGATTTCACCTCGTTATTTCTTTGTAATTAATTTCTTACGAATACGTAAAATAGTCAGCCATTTCATCTTTCTTGAAAATGCATTGAACACTTGAGATTGTGACTGTTGACTACAATCTCAATCGACTCTTATCAATGTTCGTTAGTGATAAGCATCATACTAGACATTTATCAATAAAATAATTTAGTATGGTTCTTGATCTTTATATAGTGTATTTAAGAGTAAAAAAAAATGAACGTTTGTATTTGTGAAAACGATACTGTTGGATATCTTCTCCACAGGAAAATTATATCATATGATTAATGGGATTACGTGACAGCTCATCGTACTAAATATCTTCTGTTTGATAATTAATTCTAAAGGTTTGAGTCAATAACTGATTCCACAAATATATTTTTTATATAATTCTCATCAATCATTGATTCTTAGATTCACTTTACCTCGTACAGGTATTAATCATTTTAAAATCATCAATCGACTTTGAATTCTACTTGTAAATTAAAAGAAGTTAATATTTGTTATTCCAATTTTCTATGTGTCATTCATGAGTATCTATAGTTTGAGTAGATTTATTGAATGAAATATTTGCATGATTTTTGAATTTCAAAAAGTAGAAAATTTTCATTTTTTTGTAATTTAGTTAAAAGTTATTTTTTTAATTAATCACACCTATGTTATTTTCAGTGAGAATTATTTGATTAATGATTTCTATTCTTATCATTTTCCAATAATTAATGTTATCGCGATTTCTAATATGTTTTTATCATTTCAGATCGAACGATAAGACGTGCAAAAACAGCACATCAAGGCCATCAGAGAATAAAAATGGAATTGACAGTGGCACATTCATCTCTGGTTTTTTTCTTGACACTTGTGCTTCTATTGAGTGAAGCAAGGCCTAGTAATGGACTCTGCAATGTACGAAAAAATGGCACCTTGGCCAGGTGTAATTACCTCGAGGACATTAAAACGATCGATACATATCAACTGAAGAGCCTTAAGGTATCTGTGGTTGGTAAACATTTGTCTGCTGAATATTTTGGTAATTTAACCAATTTAAGACACCTGGACTTGTCCAATGGAAAGTTAAAGAAAGTCGAAGCAGGATGTTTCCATCATCTCCGGAGTCTACGCTCGCTTGATCTTTCCAACAATCAGCTGACCCACTTAGGATCTGGTGTCTTGATGGAGTTAAAACATCTTCAAGTATTAAATTTGAGTAGAAATTCATTGGAACGAATTCCTGATGATCTGACTCATTGTAAAGATTTCAAAGTATTGGATTTATCGGATAATCCTCTTCTCTGTGATTGCAAAGCCTTGAAATTAAGAGATGTTTTAATAAAAAGAAAAGTTGTAATTTCAAAGAAAACAAAATGTTCAGAACCTTCAAGTATTAAAGGGCAGTTATTGATAGAACCTGACATTCAAAGAGTCTGTATGTTTGATGAGCTTTATGATGAAGATGGTATGCAAATGGATCAACCATTACCTGAAATATCAGAAGGTTCTGGAGAAGGTTCAGGAGATGCATTTGATGAGCTTGAAGCTGATGATATTCCTGATGAAAATGATAATGAACAATCAACTGAGTTTCCAAAAGTTGATAGTACAACAGTTCCAATTGAAATTCCATTGACTCCTGGATCAACTTCATCAGCTGATGACGGAATTTTCTTTTCTGAAGAGACTGATAAGCACACAGTGACTTCTCCAATTACTAAATCAATTGAAGCTACAACACCCATATCAGTGAGTGTTCTAGAGTCTTCTACAGAAATTAAAAAAACAGATGCACCTGTATGGACTAATGAAGGATCTGGAGATGATGATATTGACGATGCATGGATTGGAGAAGGATCAGGAATTGAAGGATCTGGAGTTCATATTTCTCATATTTCCTGGGATGAAGATCCAATACAAACTCGCATTAATCAAGAAAACATCAATGGATCAACAACGTCAACAACTGAATCCGAAGGAATTATTGATACATTTTTCTCCTTATTTTGGGGAACAACAGCAGCTACACCAAGTTCTACAACTGAAGATATAGATTTGGAAGAAGAACAATTTATCAAAGCATCAACAGAAGAACCCGCAAGTAAGTCTTCTTTACCTGATACTGAAATAATTGTGCCAGTAGTTGTTAGTACAGTTGATAAGGAGAAAGATACAGGAGAGCAAAAATCGCTTCTTGAGAACTCTAAAATTGGACAAGTTAAAGCAGAACCAGTTGATGATTCGACAGAGACGGCTGATGCTTCCGCAGCTCAACAATCAAAAAAAGGCATGGGATCGTATGTAGTTCTAGCTGTTCTTTTAGGTGTCTTAGCAGTATTGATAGGATTTGCTGCATATAAAGGTGATTTTTGCAAAGAACGAAGAAAAAGAAATAATCGAAATATTGAAGCTTCTGATATGGAAAACGGAACCGAGATGAAAGATCTTAGGAAAACACTGCTAGAAAATTCAAACTCAGTTCAACCAAAAATCTCTTCAAATGGAAAACCTGAAGAGGTACCTTTGGTCACTTCTTCTGCTCCTGTAGATTCTAAGGATAATGAGCTAACTTCTAAATATGTTGGAGTAGTCAATGAATCATCAGCTGATCCAGTAAAACCACCAAGAAAATCATTTTCACCTAACGAAATTGAAAATGGGAGAAAAACCGGAACAAATGGAAAAATTTCTCCACAATTATCCACGTCTGATAATGTCCAAAACTCGAGAATACCTGTGGCTAGAGATGTTCTTGTTAATGGAAAGAATGACAGAGATTCGTTATCATCAGTTGGTGAAACTCATTCTTTAGGATCCCACTCAACTCGTTTATCTAACTCGAGACTGAGTCAAGGTCTTCCACCTGCAAGTCCTGGTGCTCAACGTGTTAAAATAACTCTTCAGGATAATCCTGATAGTGTACCGAAGACACCTCTACTTATTACAAGAACGAAGGCAGGCGAAAACCTAGTCAAGACACCTTGAAGAGGATTTTATTGAAACGAATGTGATCAAATAAAGACATTTTCACAACTTCAGGGTCATATATTTTTTTCGAAGAATATTAATTGATTATTTTAAACCAATGAAAAATTCAAATAAAAATAATGAAAATGACATGATAAAAGCCTTGAAGAGATTCTGACTGCGACGTGACTGGGGCTTATGTTCCTCTTTCAAGCCTCGTTTTCGCGTGGTCGAATGATGAATAGAAAATAAAAATAAAAGAAATTTTATTTATTAATTTCTTTTCATTGTGTTGAATATGTTAAGTTTTGTTATTTTTAGAGAAAATTATTTTTAATTGAATTAAAAGATATTTTACAAATGTAGAGTTAAAAAGTTTTTCAATGAAAATAATTTTATGGATTATAGAAAAATAAGTCATTCTTATTATAATTATCATCATTATTATAATTATTATAAATACAGTTTTTATTATGTAAGGTTTGTTACTATGACAAGGCATTATTTATACTTTTTATTGGTCTTTAATCAATATAATAAAATGAAAACAATTGATTAAAAGTACGAAAAAATTTTTTAATTACGAACAAATTCATATGTATAATAATAAAGAGAACCCAAAAGAGATTTGTATAGCATGTAAAAAATTATGACAATTGCTTCCATGTAAATACTTAGAATAATAATCCATTTACCTATAAATTAATTATACATTATATATTATACATAAATTATGATAACAAATTACTGTAAATAATTTAACTTGATCTATGATATTATATATTATAGATGGATGTTGGTTAATGACAAATGTTTTTTTTTTAATGATTCAAAATGGCGTCTTCATTAATATCACGATTATCAAATTCCACACTAAATCTTAGTGCTTTGCTAAGTATTGTTTATAAAGTATGTTTGATTGATTATTAGCGTTAAGTTAGCATTCTAATTATTACTAAGGATATAAATTAAATAAAACATTCAAAAAGACTATGAGTAAATGAATAAGTATAGGGCTGAATTTAAACAATTCTACTGCTAGAGATGCCTTCATTAGTTTCAAGAGGCTCTGGTGAAGAAACTAATGAAACTGGTGATGATGCTGGAGTTACAGGAGGTCTATAGGTTCCACTTCTCGGCTCTCGAGGCAGTTCTATCACTTGAATGCTGTCAACATTAACATTTCTTCTGCTAGTAGTTATTGATTGATTTTTAAGCTCGTCTGAGTCTTCATCATCACTTGAATGTTCATCTCTCCTAAAAAATCTTCGCTTTTGTTTAGTACTCGTTGGTCGAGACCTTAGTGTTCTGCTCCAGGTACCATCAACACTACTAGTTGGTTCTTCGGATTCACTAGGTCTTTGCATAGCTGAAGATCTTCTTGAAGTAGATTTAGATGGTACATTTGAGTCAGTAATTCTTTGAGACACAGAGCTAGATCTGGATTTAATTTTTTTTGTACTTCGACTTCTATCTTCATGTTGTTCCTCAAGATCATCTTCACTTCTTGCACGTTTCACTGTTCTTTTTCTGGGTTGCCTTCGTCGTTTTCGAGCGTATGCATCTCTGTCAAGAGACTGCGCAGATTGTCCCAGACCTTCTGCGACTGATATTGAATCAAGATTATCAAGAGATCTTACAAGTCTCGGCATCTGCACTGCTTCTTCGTATGTTGGAGGACCAATTAATTCGTCTGGATGGACTCTAGGGATGTTTTCTTGATGTCTTGATTCTTCTCGTTGATTTCTACGAAGTGAATTTCATTTTATTGTTAACACTCAATCATTTGAAGTCATTTTTAAAGTTAATTTTTTAATGGGAAGCTATTTTTGTTATATTTTTAATATGATTGAATGGTCAAATAATTAAATTATACTCATAGCAAACCTTCGATGGAGTAATAACCTTTCTCGTGCTTCAGCTCGTTCTGCTTCACGTACTCTCAACAATGCTTGACGTCTCTTTTCTTTTATAGTGTGCCCAATCGATACAATGCTTCCAAAAATTAAAATTATAATTAATAGGCTCATAAGCACAAGTCCATAAACCCTTTCTGACTTGGAAGCTTTCAAACCATTATCCCAAACATCTTTAACACCTTTTCCCCAAGTTACTTGACATGATGTTGACCATGAGTAACCTGATACATTACTCGGACTTTCACAGATTAAACTTGAGGGATTGGTTTTCGATGATCGTGTTAAATAATAATATATTGGGTACAGCTGTTGACAATCACAACGCCAAGGATTGTCATGCAAACGAACTGTGTGTAGGTTTGGATTATATGCAAATGTTTCTAAATCAATTCCTTCTGTTAATCTGTTTCCTGAAAATATTCCAATTAATTGAAAGTTTATTCAAATGAATATTCACATAAAATATTTTTTTTAGGATTCAAAGTTACTTAATAAAAATAATAAATTATAAACTTGCCGGATAAATCAAGCCACGTTAAAGAAGGAAGATAAGTAAAACTTTGATTAGATAATCTAACCAATCGATTACCCTCCAGAATTAGAGTTTTCAAAGTCTGAGATTTCACACCTGAAGCAAATGTCTCCAATTGATTTTTACTTAAATCCAAACTTTTAATCCTTGGCATGTACATTAAGCTTTCTTTTGGAAGATACTCAATTAAATTATAAGATAAATCAATCGTTACAGCAGTTGTTGTAAAGTTTGTTGGAAATTCTCTGATGTCATTAAATGACAAGTTAAGTAAATGTAGATTGATGTTATCTTGGAGCATTAATGCAGGTAAAATCTCCAAAGTGTTATGGGATAAATCTAATACTTCTAATTTTGGCATTCCAATGAATGAACTTTGATTAACTAAACTTAATCCATTGTCATTTAGGTTTAAGTGTATGAGCATTTTGTTTCTTGAGAATATTCGATTTGGCAGAAATCGAATTCTGTTATGAGAAAGAATCACGTGGGTTAATGCTGGAAGCCCATGAGTTCCTGGACGATCTAAATTGCAGTTAGAAACGTCTAGCTTTTTGAGTTTATCATGTCTTAGTGTTTCTTTTCTGCAACAAAGTTTTTTTGTTGATAAACAATCTTGAGAATAAATCAATGTTAATTAAATAATATTTTAATACTGAATAAATTGATTAGGAATTAAACAAGATTATTTAAACACCTGCTACTATAAACAAGAACTGGATTGTTGGACAAACGAAGTTGCTCGAGCTCTGGTACTCCTTGGAAAGTATCTGGATACAGATAATTCAACATACAATACGATAAATCTAGCCATTTGAGCCTTTCACTCCTTATGTGATCGATTGACTTCAGTGGATTTCCATGTAGGTTTAAAGAAATTAGTTGTGGAAAATATAACAGTGTTTCATTACTTAATTTACTAATCACTGAAAGGAAAAAAATATTTTTACTCTATTTTATTTTTTTTTCTTTTTAATTAATGTAATTTATTTTACTTACAACATTGGCTGACGTCCAAAATTCGAAGTGAAGGATTTTTCAGAGCCTCTAAATTCGTTATTGGATTGTTTTTTATATGAAGGAGTCGTAAATTTGGTAGTCTTGAAATGACATCAAGACCTCCATTAACATCAGAAATATTATTATTATTCAAATCAAGTTTTTCCAGTTTTCGTAAATTTTCTAATTCTTCTGGTAGTTCATTTAATTTATTTTTTGATAATAATATTTGCTTTAATTCTGAAAGTCGTCCAATATCTGCTGGTAATAATCTCAAATTATTTCCTGATAGATCAAGATATTCCACCTGTAGAAAAATATTTTGTTAATGACATTGAATGTTTAAAATCGTTTTTAAAAATCATATCACTTATTGTTCTTTGTTTTATTTTGACATTAACGTATTTTGATAAAAATTACTGGTACCAAACTACTGATTTTATCAGGGAATTCATCAAGATCCAGGTTAGAACATGAAACACTCCAAGGCACTCGGTCCAAATGACACACACAGTTGATCGGACAAATTGATCTAGTATGAGAAATAAAACTTGTCACTAAGAATAAGAGTATGGAGTGTGTACTGCCAACAATCATCTTTGACACTTTGCTTTATTTAATGAAAACTCTTAAATATCGCTAGAAAATTTCATGTCTGACAACATCTAACTTATGTAAAACTTATTTTTCTAAAAGAAACTTTGTGACTATTTTCGTCATTTTATCATAAGTTCTAATGAATTGAACAAAAAATTGAGGGCGTGCCCGTTTCGTTCACCTCGGTATGAACACTACCAATAACTTATCTTTCATGTACACCCGAAGCGGTAGAGCTTATCTTCATCATGAGATAAGTTGTCGTTGATATATCCATCACTAGGTTGGTTCTTCATAAAATGAATCGGTGTATATAACAAAGGAAGTAAATAAAACTTATCATTTGATTTACTTATTAAATAACGTTTAACAACATAACTAATTTCTTACTCATTCAGGACAATAATAATTTTGATGATTTTTTTTTTTCATTTCGTTGACTGAGTAAGTAAAAAATTTAAGACATTGGATAAATACATCGAGTTGACTAAAGCCGATATTGAGTAGACATCTGTGGTCAGTCGTCTCGAGCTCTTTAAGCCCCTCTTGGCTGACCCATGCGGATATTTTTCCCTTTGCTTCTTCAAGCTACCTAGTAGAATAAGCCGAGTATCGTGTGGCTACGTGTACTTTTCTTGTCATCGTTTGCTTCTAAATCCTGTGACGACAAAGTCCAAGACCTCGAGATGCTGCATCATCCATCTCACATGTATTTTAAATTTTCTTCCAATATCGAAGCCGATCTCAGACAAGATAAGTTGAAAACAACAAATACAAGAAAAGGAATATTTATAGAGTGTTATTTTATGATGAAGTGGAACAGTTAATGCGATGGTCAGGCATGAGAAAAAAATTTTCACTAGAGTTTTTGATTCTTTTTCACACATCCGTTTAGCGAGAGGAACCAATCGCAACAAAGTTACACCCTCTGGAGGGTGTGAGCGGCTTAGCCAGCGCCGGCGCTTAGCTCCATGGCTTATCCAGCAGCCAGCCAGATTGTATAACTGCGAGTTTGAGAGTGCGCCGACGTTCTACCTGTTGACTATGGCTAAAGCCAACCCCTTTGACGATTTCACAAATCCTCGAGCTTTTATCTCATCCTTAAAGTCACGCCTTTTTAAATCTATCTCTCTTAATAAACTCGGAAATCATTTTTTTTCTTCACCGAAAACGCACTCTAAAATCGAAAGTTCATTGCCATCTTAACATTTTTGACATAAGCATCCTTGTACTTTTTTATTGAAGAAAAGAATATAACAAATTCTTTATTCAAAAAAAATTTTTTATTAATTAATTGAAATAAAAGAATAAATTAAATGTTTGCTGAGTTGGTTTATCAACAAAGATTTTTTTATTAATAAAAAAAATCCTCAGATCGATAAACGAGACGGGGTAGAAAATGGTCTTGGAACCGGACTGGAGATAGATATAATTTAAATTCGATCAGAGTCGTTGAGTTTTCTTTATTCAATGGAGATAAAAGCTCGAATGAAGTCGTAGATTGAAGAGGAGTTATAGAGTTGCAAAGGAAAACGAGTGTTAAGAGAACGAGAAAAGTAAGTGATGCAAGCAGGAGCCAAGGGGATATAATACCTCTCGCGCTATCTTTCGACAAGGGTGTTCGCTGAGAAAGCGGTTATATATTTTTAACGCCTTCATTTCCGTCACAGGCATACCGGAAATAGCGGTACGATACCTCGCGGTGTTTCAAGTATTGATCAGTTTGGTCCGGGTACCACCCATCGGACGACGGGTGGAAACACGGAGGAGTCAGCTTCTCTCTCTCTCTCGTTCTCTTCTCCTTCTCTCTTTATACTAAGACTCATCGGTGAATTTCCCCCACTTTCGAAGCCGTGTGCTTTTACTCCTCCCCTTCACCTTCTGCCCAGACTCATCCACCTTCTAGATAGTGAGACAAGTATTTCCGAAGCTATGCCAAGTCTTCTTGATGATGTATATCTGTTTGAATTTTTTTAATTCCTAACGTTTTACTATTGTTATCAAATTTTTTTGACACTAAAAAACTCCATCAATGTTTAAATTAATTAAATATTCTATAAAAACTTTGTATTTTAACAAACTTGGCATTAAAAAGTAATCTCGAAGAGGATAAAGTTAAATAACCAATGACTGCCATGAGTCAGTAAATCTCTAGCGCATAAAATGCTTTTGATGGAAGATTTCTAAATTATTGTAAAATATGACGAAATAATAACTCCAAGAAATATTATAAAAGAATGAAATAGTTTATTAAATAGATTGCAAGATTTTAAAGACAGGGAAAATGTCCGGCCAGTTTAAGTCTCAGTCAGAAATTAAACATAAACAAATTGGTCAAGCGTTGCTAACAACAAATTCAGTCATTTGTTAACTTATATATAGATGGGGACATATATTTATTTTACATTATTATAAAATTGCAATGGTGATATTTTTTGTGTAATTTCAGACAATACTAAACAACATTTAATAAGTATAAAATTTTATAATAATTAATACTTCATGAATTGGTCATTCATTGGATGATGGTCACTTAGTAGGCATTGTACCCTGGTATGATTTCTAAAAAATGTTTATAAAATATTCATGATGATAATTGAGACGAGGATAAACTTACCTGTAAATAGATAACATCCAATGTTTGAATGGAATAGCCGGGATATACATATTCGTTCACTTGTGTATTTAATTTTCTTTCAGAATTCTATTTTTAGTATCTAGTGTTTTAAAGATAAATTATTCTAATAATCTTTTTTACTTTCTTCATAATAATGTCAATAAAAACAGCACGATAATATGTCTCTTTAACCTCAAATTTACTATTCGTATCCTCAAAAATGACCCCAAATACATAAAGAATCTTTTGGAGCAATTTCTGTCTGGAGCCTCAATTCTAAATAATTACCCGATTTCCTTGGAGAGACTTAATTCGACTGAATAGCAGGTGAAGCCCAATTAAAAAATTTATTTAGAGAAAATAGTGCGCATTTAACACGCGAAGATCAAATAGTTTCAACATAACCAGATAAACATTTTTGTAGTGACTAATGAAATGGTCAATATCCTTAAGTGTTCGTTCATTGATGTGCTGGAGTAATACAATTTCTCTTATAAGAACTGTGTGCTTAGTTTACCCAAATTATGATATCATTTTGAAAGACATTTTCAATACATAAGAAATTCAATTTTGTTCTTTAATTAAAGGAGTTATCACTGTAAATTTGAGTGTTTTATTGTAAAACATTGAAAGTGTTTTAAAATGACGTCACCCATTTGATTAACATTGTCTCGATTTTAAAACACTTAAAAACGCTTTGAAATCGAGACAATGTTAATCAAACGGGTAACGTCATATTGAAACACTTTTAATGTTTTAAAATAAAACATTAAAATTTACGGTGATTGAAGACGGCAAATTAGTCAGAATTTCGAACACAACTTTTCGACATAAAATAAATTTATATTTGAATAATTTGAGTGTCATTCGATTTGTAATTGAATTTTGCATCGAATGACACTCGAAATTATTTAAATATAAATTTATTATATGTCGAAAAGTTGTGTTCGAAATTTTGGCTAATTTGCCGTCTTCAATAGCGTTTTAAAACAATTCTTTAAGAAGAGAAATTTATTATTTGGATTAAAAAAAATATTTATATTTAATGAAAATTGAAAAAAAATAGTTAACATTGATAAAATATTATTTTTTAAACTTTGTTAAAAGAATAATTTTGTATATAATTTATTTGAATAATTAATTGCTAAAAAAACTACGAATCTCGTTTACTTAGACAATTCAACATAATTTCATATTTTTCTCAATAGAATTTAGTACATTCCCTTTGCGATCTTCAAGCTTGTCGGGTATAAATAGCAGCTTATCTTTTGTCGGCTTCGACATCGGATGCCCTCGGAGTATACAAAGCCAAGCTTCTATATACTCACCAACTCACTTCCCTTCCTACCTATTTAACGTTATACTTTGGCCTATAGTTTTCTTTCTGTATCAACTCCTCTCAATTCTCGTTTGCTTTCACTGCTACCACCCCCTTAAGCAACCCCTTTCTACATATCCTACACTCGCTCAGCTAAGGGAGTGTGACGTCTTTTGAAATGTGCTCTCGTAATTGCTGTGGCATGTCCCTGAATCAAATCCACCGCATCGACGATGGCTGTTCGTTCTTTGCTTTATCAATGCGTAAAAGAGGGTAGTAACATCTATGATACCTTCTCACATTTTTATTTTTTTCTTTTCTTTCGAATGGATTATTTTACCCCGAACTTTAACACGCAACACTATTTTCACCTAAGTTCTTACTTTAATATTATTTTTTTTACAACTTATTTTGTAACAAAAAAACTTAATAAACAATTGATCAAACACTTTTCATTAATGATCATAAAAAAAATAATATTTTTCTTTTTAAATTGATTTCCTAGAAAAAAATTGATAATTAGATTAAAATATTAAAAAAAACTTGATTGTTTTGAAGAAATGTATGTATTTTATTAATTTATTTACTTTTATTTTTTACAATTTAAAGATATCTTCAGTTATTACTGATGACTTCAAATAAGTAAAAAAGGATTAATCATTTTCTATAAAAAACAATTGAGATAATTTGACAGCAAAAGTATACTATGAAAATAGCCTAAATTTTGGGGATTTGCAACGTTGAAATTTGAATAGATGCTGGATGTTTGTGGTTCAGTGCGCCCTTAACGAGATCAGGGTGTAGACACCATCACCTCACCACCGTTACGTCGATGAAGCTTGTAGAGTAGGAGTGAGAACACATTGAGGCATTGAATTAGGTGTGTGTTTGGGCAAAAGGTGCACATCTGTTTCAGCTCCCAACCTTGTCTCGCGTTACTCGAGTACCTCGGCTTTATCTTCACTATCACTCCTCTTTCTCATCTCATTCTTCAACATCAGTTGTACTATCTATCCACTTCTGTCTATCTACACTTCCGTCACATTGTCTAATCGCCACGATCCTCGACTCTCTCACCACTCGCGTGAGCTTCGCGCTTTCACCCTCGACAAATCCGCGGTACGTTCGTTCTCTTATTTTTATGTAAAAGAGAGGGTGAGGAAGAACCAATTTTTTTTCTCTTCACTCTTGGTAGTCTTTTTCTGTACTGTTGAAACACCCCAACACCTTAAATCACGGAAATTG